GGTCGCCATGTGCGCCCACGGACCACCAGTTCACAACTTGATGTCAGAAGCACGGCTAAGTTTGTTTCCGCTACCCCTGATAGCGAGACGAAACCGCACCAGACCTTAACGATCCGCATAATGCTTCAATACGGTCTCAATGTGCTAGGTCCACTATCACTGGTCAAATGTCAACTAGCGTACCCATTAGGTCCGCTGGAACAATGCGCATGTCGTCGGGAATTCGCATCCAGTGCCGCAGGAGTATATGGGCTCAGCGTGCATTTCTGGATCACGCCGGGGAGTTACATGCGTCCATAATTATCAATGTATTCATAACCGTATTTACGCCAATCTGCCGTCTACTTCCCAGCCCAACCGAACTCCAGTCAGCCAAACCCAACAGAAAATGCACTGATCTGTGGTAGCTGTATAAACATGCCTTACAAATAGTCGCAGAGGTGTGCCCATTGTTGTCAAACAACCCTTGGCTCAAGGCACCATCGTGTTTCAGCGCAGTACAAGGCGCAGACGCGGCCCGCGGTTTTTCTGACAGGCGGCTTCCATACATGGGTGGTAATAACAATGCCCTCAGCCGAGGGCATTGCAACACGCATCCCACAAGCCATAGGTCCTTTCACGCCACCACGCGCCAGAAGCGCGAGGGGACGTTGAACCGCCACCTACCAGTTCGCACTGCCAACAACCGGCACCATCCTGCCCCAGCTGACCCCAGGCCGCCACGACACACGAGCGGACACCTGACGTCAGGACTCCGGACTCCGGCCGGCGCCGTCCTGTCCACAGCTGACCCTAGGCCGCCACGACACACGAGCGGACACCTGACGTCAGGACTCCCGACTCAGGCCGGTGCGACATGTGTGTCGGTGCTGCGCGGAGCAAAAATGCTCGAAAAACGAGCAAAGCGCGAAAACATCACATGCCGCCACCGGGCGGCTGGTGCGCAGTGATGCCTGCAATCACTTGAATCACCTAGAGCCCGAAGTGGCCCGGTCCGATATCACACGACGCAGGTCAACACGCTTCTATCACAGTGTACGTATAGCATATAAATATACACAATATAGAATAAACAATGCAACACAGTGCGCTACCCCATATAAACGCAAAGCATTTTCACACGGCGTGCGCAAAGCGAGGCAGCAATGCCCAGAAGCCACAGCACCGGGTGCATGGATCAAAGAGAGGTGCCCACCACCCACCGACTTGTTCCGCGGTATCAAAACGCTAACACGACCCCGGTAGAACACTGGACCACTTCTACAAAAAGTAACCAGAAACAGGCTCCGGTGTCTGAAGGCTGTGTGAGCGTGGGAGGCTGACGCCGGCCAGAAGGGCGCCACGGGCGGCCCGTCAGCCTGGAGGCGCGGAACAAGCATCGCCGCGAGACGACAGACTAGCGCAGGAATGGCGCCGCCTCCAGAGACAAGGAGGCAGTCAAAAAGATAAAATCGGATCCTGCCGGTCTTCTTTGGTGATGAGATCTGTAACAGACACGAAAATCCAGACTCGTCAGCTTGGTACTGAGGCCGACGCAACAACGGCTGGTGAAAGAGACGAGCGGTACGAGACAGGCGACACGTGCCCAAACACACGCGGATGCGAAGCAAAATATGAGGCTTCGGGCGCGGTGCGCCGATACGTTGCTACCACAAGAGTGTGTGTAGTCCTTTCGATTTTCCAAATGCACGCCTAAGGGGGGGGGAGTTTTGCAACTATCTACGGTTAATTTGGTGCTTACATGTGCGTTTGAATCTTGTAACAGTTGTATTCACTTATTATTATCGATCGCATCGATGGATGAGCGTGAAAAATACAATGCTAAAAATGAGCCAATCAGCGGACAGGAAAGGACGTATGCACTGGCTTATGTGTGGCAAGTAACTGCGCGCTAGTGACATGGTCATTATCTTGGTTGCTACGGTCTCGTGCGTGTAGGGAGAGCGCTGGCTGTGTAGAGCGGTACGCAATTGAAGACCCGCTGCGTAATTCGAGACAGAAAAATATGATACCCTGAATATGTCTGGTGTACCAGCGACATCGCAGCGACAATTTCAGCGCATGTGCCTTGTTATTTCGAACGCTGAATTCGGTGCACGTGCATTCAGAATTCGGTCATTAATTTCAGGGATAGGAATGTTAGCCACCTGTAGCCACTGCCAAAACAACGCATAACGCTTACATTGTCATAGAGCCTGGTGCATCCCATTGACACGACACAACAGTTGTGCCTCATCTCAGTATAAAGATAAACATAAATTAATCGCGGCACGTATCAACTGACCAGCCTTACCTTGCGGGCCAACCCCGTAAACCCGCAGCCCCCAGCTGAATGTAAACAAGAAACACATCAACATAATGGCCGCCGCCATCGCAGCGTTCGCAAGCTGCTGTCGGAGCTGACAAGCGACATCCTCGAAAAGCCATTGGCTAGAGCTAACGATGCCTTCTGAATGATGTCGATGGGTTTAGTAGTGAATATTGTTTGGAGGCTATTCGATAACTCCGTTCTTCCATACAAAAAAGAAAATGGGGGCTGGGGCAATATCTCGTCAGTGGAGGCGAATTGGTGGGAACCAAAGTGCACGCCTCTCAAAGCTCAAGCAGCTCTCCTACCTCTCCATCCCATACCAAACATCCCTTAAGTGCAATGCTAGTCGCGAAGACTTCGAGCGTTACGCGTACCGCCCCTGAGCCGCGCCGCATGAGCAGCTGGCCGGTGCGCGTCCGCGCGCCGCCGGCCGGCCGGCCCGGCGGGGCGGGGCGCGTACCGTTGATGATGGCGTGCCAGGGCAGCATCACGTAGGTGAGGAAGACGCTCAGCGGCGGGCTGGACGGTCGCCGGCCGTCCTTCCCGAAGCCCAGCGTCTGCGAGAGGCCCCGCATCGTCCAGATTGGGTTGTACACGCCCTCTTCCAGCTCTGGAAAACGGTGGCCTGGCTGTCATTGCGGCCGCGTTGGTGGGTCTTCAGCGCCGCGCAGCACTCCACGACCATCTAACTTTGGCACGTGTTTTTGTACTGGTCTCGGTGTGGCGTCTGCAGGCCAGAAATAGGAAAACAGGCTCTCAGTCGTTTACTCATTCACTTCTCCTTGGCTGATTAGCATGTATTTACTCACTGAGTTCTAAGAACAACTATCCCATCACCAGAATGCCAGAAATGAAGCTACAGAAAAAGGCATGTCAGCACGCTGCACAACGTGACAAAGACTAAAAACGAAATAACAACCAACTACTTTATTCTCCGGTATGTACATTTTCCATACGGCAAACCCTGCGAACGTATCGAGCTGCCTAGATAGATAAGCCGACTACCTGAGCTCAAACAGTGCGCTGTCCAATCAATACAACACCACGTCGCCCGCAAACAGCGTAGTCACCTGGACACCCACCTCGCCCGCGGAGGAACAGCTTCTGCACGTGACAGCGGTAGTGGACGACGGTGCCGTCGGGCGTGCGGGCGCATGCGCAGCGCTCGGTCGGCGCCGGCCGCTGGCCGCACGCCTGCCGGTACAACATGCCGGGCGTGACGAGCGGTGGCCGCGGGCGCCCCGGTGCGCTGGCCGCCGGCCGTGGCCTCGGCGCGGCCGCGGTGGAGCGGGGAGAGGCGCGGCCGGAGTCCGAGCTCGCCGGCGCGGCGCGGCTCCGCTCGGTGCCGCCGCCCGCCTCGTCGTCCGCGTCGCCAGGCGTCCGGCAGGCGGCGCTGTCGGCGCCGGCAGTGCGAGGGACCGACGCTGGCTCCGTGCTCGCCCCGGCGGCCACCCCGCCACGGCCCTGCTCCCCAGCAGTGCTCGAGCCCCCAGATTGCCCGACTTCCGCGGGGGACTCGTTCTGGCTCGTTCGCTCATCGGTGGGAACTGCGGTCGGCGTCCGCGCCGCGCCGTGCTCGGCGCTGGTCTGGGTCCGAGCACTAGCAGCCACACCCGCCCGGTCGTCTTCCCTCTTGCGCTCAGTCAGCGAGTCTACACCCCCCGCGCTGCTCTCCACCGGACGACAAGGCTCGCCGTCTGGAAAATGGAACAGCGCTGGAATAGGCGAGGACGGAGACCACATCAGGCGAGGAGACTCGCCCTCCGGCGGCGACGGCGCGGGCCGCCCGGGCAGAGTTTCCACACTCAGTCAGCTACTGGAACGGATGTAAATTGAAATGCATGCTGTCCGGATTCATGCCTATCCCAGGCCTAGGCGGTAACCTTGGGTTACCGGCTTCCAGCTGGGCTTCAGACCCTTCACAGATCCTTAGTGACCTGTTCGTCCGATATTCATCTCCTGGGGCGGCTTCACACACGCTTGGCAGCGTCCTCCGCCCAACACTGAAATGCGGCGGCGGCGGAGCTCAGTGCTTGGTGACGCTCCGATACCGGTCGACACGTCGCCGACCAGGGTGGCGCTAGCGGTCCCACAGCCGGCGGCTCATGAGGGCCAGGCCTTGCCAGGCGAGAAATCGCGCCCCTTAACGATGCCACAAGCGGAAGATAGTGCGTAAGTAATGCCGGCAGGCTCGCGACAGGCCAGGGATAAACGCGGTTATCGGCATGTCCTTACACGCCGCGTCAGCGCACACGCTCAGCAATCAGGACATGCAGCAGGCTCATAGCCCCGTGCCCCTCACTGCTGGGTGAGCTAAGAAGAGTATACAGGCCGACTGCGGCAGCTGAACCCGTCCTGCGTCTCTTCACGGCCGGTCGATGGAGCGAAGCTCGACCAACGCATGTATCCGAAACAGGGGCAACGTGGTCAACAAAGGCCGCGTCGTGGGCGGCGGTCCCGTTGGCAGCGAAGACGCCCCGACCACCAGCGGAGCCGCCCACTCACCGCTCCGCACGTCCTCCGCCTCTATCTCGATGACGGGCGCGGGTGGCGAGCCCGAGCGGTCGCGTCCGGCGCCGGCCAGGGGTCCGCCCCGCGCCCTGCCGCGGTCGCCGGTCGGGCTGACGGCGCTCCTGAAGGTGGCGCTCGGCTCGCTCTGGCGGCGCTGTAAAACGGAGCGTCGGCGCTCAGGCCGACCGTGCCAGACGTGCCGGGGCGTCGCATGGCACCGGCTGCACAAACTCACTCTGCGACGCTGCGTGGCGCAGAGCTGAGGGCCGTGTCATGTGGCGAGTGGCAGCGACACTGCACGAGTGCTGGGTGCAGGATACGTACAAGCCGTCTAGAACGCACCCAAAGCCACGCGTCCAAGCCATTCTGGACAGGCTTAAAAGATTGTTTTCGAGCCAGTTCGGAATACAATGGGCTGCATTTAGCCTGAAAACAAGAACAACAATTCGCACCATTCCGTAAGTATTCATTAAACCTGCCACCATGACGGAAAATTACTATGGTAATACTTACGCACCTGAGAAACGAAATTAACATTCTAAATTATCACACATTCGAAATACGACGTGCAAGATAACCTTCACGCTTAAAATATGTATATATGGCACAACCTAAATCCCGAGCTTAACTACAAATCAGCACAGCTATTTTCTACATTTCAGGTCATACCGGACCAAATATGTTTTCTAAACGTGCTTACATAGTTTGTCTGAATACTATACACATAAATATATGTTGCTTATTTTCAGCGCCTGACCCTAACGCAGAGCTCTATAGGAGGAGTAATTTCTAACACTTATTCTCGAAGCAAGTCCTTAACGTCATCTACCGTGACGTGATGTGCACGCCCCTGGCGCTCATGTCCTCCGCAGACCGCCCATCCCTCCCCCGACACGAGCACAGGGACATTGCCGACGCCGGCGCTGGCAGCGAACCTGGCCTCCGTGCTGCTGCAGCTCCTGCCGCTCGGTGCCCCAGAGCCACTCCGCCGGTGCGTGGTCAGACTCTGAGGTGGGCGATTCGCAGCCGGTCCCTGCCGACAAACCGAGTGTCACTCCGCGGCCCAGTTCACACGTGGGGGGACACGCTCAGCGTCTTACTCGAACTGGACCGCCGTCCAAAGGCAACAAAGCTTAAGAACCATAAGTTAACATAGCACTCACGTTTTTTTTCTCTTTGGATGGCAGCAGGGTGCACTGGAGAATTACTGGTATTGTAGCACATGTCAGCTGTAAAGATAACTCTGCGCTTGCTTGCTGCTGCCAGTTTTAAAAATCACGCTTGGTCAGCGTTCCGTTGGCCTTCTCAGGCGTGACTGAACAACGCACAAGTGGCTACCGTGAGCAGACGCCCCCCCCCCCCCCCGCGGCCAAGCCCGGCCGCCGGCGTCTGCCGTCCTACCTGGCGGTCTGGTGACGGCGACCTCGGCGTGACCCTTGCCCATGGGGCCCTTGACCCTGACGAATTCCATCCTGCGGGCGTGGGCCGACGAGAACAGGCCGAACGTCACACGCTGTGCCACGCGGCTGCTGAGGCTCGTCTGCGGCAGCAGAACAGACCACGCGCATCGCCCGGATCAGTCGTCAATTGTGGTCTGTTACGAGGGGTCGAGATCGGGAATCCCGCGCCTATTCTACGATGGTGAATTTGCCTGACAATCACCGTACACAGCGAACAGTATTGCACAATGTTAGGCATGCATGGACAAACGGACACAGCTGCATCCAGCAAAATGACGCAGGACTGTGCGAGGCGGCCCACACCCTGCACAAATTCAAAGCGAGCCATGACTGGTACATCTGCTCATATATTCTGGTAACACCCTGCGTCGCGTCGCTTCGACCCGGCCACCCCGGCCCGGCTGGCGCAGAGCAGGGCGCCTTTCTCCGCTGCGCAGGCGCAGGCGCGCGAGCGGGCCCGGGCCCGCCACTCTGAGCAGCCGAGCCCGGCGGCGAGCGAGTCTGAGTCTGAGTCGTCTGAGGCGGCGTCTGCGCTGTCGCGGCTCCGCCTAGCGCGCTCGCGTCACTCACCCGCGCGTCGTAGACTCGCTTGAGCGCGTCGTAGCGCACCGAGCCGAGGAAGATGGCACTCTGCAGGTAGCCAAACCGGTCGCGGGCCACCAGCTCCACGGACACCATCTCGCCGTCGCGCACCGCCGTGTCGCTAAACACCTGCCCGACGGCCGGCGGTCAGGACAGCTGCCTCTGACAGGTCACGTCACGGCCCGGCTCACACGGGCCCGGCGCATGTCACAGGACCCCGCCGCCCCCCATCAGCCGCGTACCCAGGGATCGGGACGAAACACAAGTCGCATGGCCACACGGTTGGCAACACCGCCTTCATACCCACTCTTTCGACCGACTCGGCGGGCTCTGTGCTTCTGTAACATGCTGAATGTGCTCCACATGCTTCAGGTGCCGACCCCAGGCCAAATATAATGCGTTTAATGGCAAACATACTGCCTTCCTGCACATGATCGCGATTAAAAAGCTATTACAGCAAACTAAACGCGCGAAAACGAGCTAAATCGATAGCTTCCCTCCGGTACGACCTAATTTCTGACGCATATTGGACACAGCAACATTAATTTTCAACTTCCGCTGAATACGTGGTCAGAAAAAGGAACGATCTATCCGTGAAATCAAACACGGACGCAATCCTAGTCACTCACCTCACTGAAGTTATCTAGCATGAAGCAAATGTTGGGGTAGGTGATGTCTTCGGAGGTGCCTTTATCACTCATCAGACGCCGGCTGGGCGAGGCCCATACTCTCTGACGACACAGACAGTGTCGGCTGTAGGCAACCTCATGGCTATCATACTCTTTGACGACACAGACGGTGTCGGCTGTGGGAAGCCGACACTGGCCGAAAGGCCAAACATACCCCCAGAATTCCCGGGGGGAGGGGGTAGCCTTGTCAGAATAACCACGGATAAAAGCCACTGGTTCCAGCTGCAACAGCCAACATGCGTAACGGACGCATAGCACGAGCGCGAGCGCGTTTGTCAACGTCGGTCTCGATGCGCCCCCGCTGATCCGCCGACCTACCTCGGTGTGCCGCTTCAGCACCTGCAGCTCCCGCGGGCTGGTCCGGGTGCAGACGGCCAGCGTCACGTAGTAGTCGAACGTGTGGATGATGAGGTTGGCGTAGATGGTCTCCTCCCAATCAATCTCCGGATCACCGATCGGCAGCTTCTTGTCGTCCCGCCGGTGGACCTCCAGCAGAGTCTGCACGAGCCGGCCGCACACTTGGTCACGCTACGCTCCGGGAACGAGTGGCCGGCCGGACAGACCAGTGACGTCCGACACATCACGGACTGACAGCTGGGACGGCTGTCAGATGGTCTGAACCACACAACTCCGTTCCTCTGGCACACCCGCCTTCATGCACATGGTTATATAACCATTGTTAAAAGCATTGTTTCATCCTTGTCAGAGTCGAACAAATACCGGCCAGTCGTCGGGACACGTGGCTGACCTTTCGTGCATGGGTTCAAACGTCACCTTAGACGGTAAGATGCATGGAAAGGGACGCAACACGATCGGGAAGACGTTTACAGAAAGACTTTTTGCCTCGGTTCAGTTAAACACTGGCACGACTAATGACAGCAATGTCTGAATCTCATTGTCTTAAAGTGCCTGAGGAGCAGCACAAGCAAAGCCTTTGAGCATTTCGATGGAAAAGGGTTGTATGTATTATGCTGGAACTTTTATCAAATTTCTCAAAAATCCACCGGCGTTTACATCAAACTCCAAGGAGCATACATGTGAGCACGCTTGCCCACGTGCGCTGAAAATAAAACATACACGCTACCTCGTATGACGGAAGGAATTTCTTAGCCTCTTTGAGATGCCGTTTACGAACGAAGAACAGAAGGTCGTCTGATTCTTGGGCATTGCGATCATATTCATGCAGAAAGTGACGAACAAAGAGGTCGGTCCAGTAGGCAGTTCCATGAAGCATCACAAAGCCGCTATCTGCAAACAAATATGTGCAATATATGGAACCATCCTAGATATATTCTTATCTTCGTGAAATCTTTGTTAAACAGAAGTTTCCAATGGTATTTTAACAATAAAAGAGCGAAATGTGACACCTCAAATTATCATTGTGTGTAGCCCCCAATTCTCCAGTTCTCAACCTGTCAACTTGTCTGACATTTTACTTTACAATTCAAACATAGAGCTTCCCATCAAGCATTTACAGAGAGGGGCCCTGTCAAACTGAGAGCCATGCATTGGGACCCAAATCACTGCACAGACAGCTCACAGGTCTGGTGCCGTAACACATGAGTAGGTCTGTCAGAGCAGCACATCACACACACACATGCTAGTGCTTAGATCAAGCAATTCACACAAACCTTCACACAGTCAGAAAAATGTATTTCATAGCCCCACTAATAAGAGGTTCCCAGGACTTCGTAATGGTGGGATCAGTGCGAAACAAAGGGGAGCGCACCCCACAAGCCCACTATGTGACAGACAGTAGAAGACTAGCATCCCATAGCATAGCTGAGCTGAGCTTCTGTGATTTATGCTTGTGGAATTGTTTGTCCGCTTTGGTCCATGGGCAACTAGCCAGAGGAGTCAGGCTTGAAATTACCCCTCAAAAACAGCTAGAGCAATGGCTTTAGAAAGCAACACCACAGCACAACACACCACCACCAGCCTGCTGGAACTGCACTGATCAGACACTGTAATGCTATCCTTTGCAAACTGAATCACTGGTCTGTTATTGCATGCTTAACACTCTTTTTGTTGGCTGAAATGGCTGCACTTTAAGGTGCACAAAAAAGCAGACATAAGCATGCAGTAATATGATTGTTAAAGGAGTTGCCTCACCATCCTTCAGCAGGTTCCTCATTTCCTTTGCTCTTTGGAAATTTATCTCTTCAATCAGCTGCTCCAAAGACATTCTGCCTTCTAGCTCACACTGTCTAGAGCAAGATGTCATTATGAAGCCTGCAAGTGACATACAATATGACATATGTGTAAACTATGAAACACTATGCTAATGCATACCACAGATATGATCAAAGTAAAACTAAGTTTATAATGCAAACATAACATTAAATAATCCTGATCACTAGAACCAGGTGGTTTCAGTTCTGGGGTACCAGTATTCTCTATGAAGGCATATAAGTCATGCTATCACTAATGCATGAGGTAGATGGGTAAGGGGAGAGTGGGTTCATCACCAGACAATGAATTTGCAACACAACAGGTCCTGATGTTTTGTCCAAGTCCATGCAAAATTAACTGTTCTTACCAGCCTGGTCATTGCAAAATAAACTTTTCTGACCAGATACAACACACTCATTTATGCATAACAGCCCTATCTCTGACCAGCAAGATCCAACTGACTAATTTAGTCATCCTAGATTATCTAGAATGTCTTATTTAGCCTTATTCCTTATAGTCACATTTAAAATTATCACAAGGATTTATCTTTTAAGTCCATAAACTTAAAAAATAAGTGGACTTTGGGCAAATGGAGACCACACTCCCTCTCCTCCCATCCTGAAGCAGTGACTGCTTCTTTTACATTGAAAACATTAGTCCATTGGCTATTTTGTTCACACAGATCATCAGAAGGCCTGTTAAAATGCATCACACAAGGTGTATACTGGGAAGGGACTGTTAAAGCAGTTTGGAGCAAGGCTGGGGCTTGTAGCAGAGGCCTTACTCTCATTCCCAATAATGTACCAGTCTGGATGGAACTAAACAGCAGGAGGTAAAACCTTATCCTTGTTTATGTTTGATACACACACTATATTTACATGTCAGTAGTTTCTTGATCCCACAAATCTCACATGTAAGTTATCTGGCATTGGACAAATTGCCTTAATTTTCACAAAATCCTGTCTCATCGAAAATTTCCCCACAAAATTAAATTACTCAAAATGTCACAGCAAACCTGATTTTGCCTTGTGCCTACACCACATCCTGGTGACCAATCCACACAACAAAATGCACACTGGTGAGACATTTCATGAGTACACAACTTTTACTTTCTGTGAAATATAACTTGCGGATCAAATTTGTGTGACTGGTTTGGAAAAGCTGGTACATCGTTATAAATGATGCGGTATGCAGTGGGGCAGCCAAGTTCTTCGAATTCTCCTGGTACGTAACTTCCATATTCTCTCTTGAGCCTACCCAAGCAGGTATAACCATGGTCTTCGCCACAGTGGACGTGGATACACGGGACTGTATTCACTCTGAGATGCATGAAGGGCATATACTGACTGGAAATTCGGTGTCACTCCAGGAGCGTGCTACATCTAGTGGGAGACCATTCACGCTCTACGCCAACGAAGGCCGCCTGTCCATAAACAAAGCGATGTTTGTGTTCGACGAGCCTATGCTCATAACTGTATGTACTGCGTCATATCTGCATCGCAGCTTTTGGAGCTCCATATGTAAGTTTGCGGGGGAAAATGGCAAAGAGGTAAATTGTTCAAGGAATTTTTATGATGTTCAACAATATCTACGTCAATGTTCCAGCTGAATCCGTTCTAAACCCATTTCAGTAGCTTGAAATGAAATGGAATGTTAAGACATGCCCAATATAGACCAGATGAGTGCATGAATTATACACTTTTTACAGCTACCCCTGGCCTTCCGCCGTCAATCTCAAGGGTTTCCTTTTTTCAGCAAGGATATGGGCTCGAATGGCTTCAGCTGACCGGGCCGGACCGTGAACGGCGTTCACGGGGTGGTTATGAAAGGCGAGCACCTTTGGACGAAAATTGTTTGCTACCCGGTGGTATCGTACTTTTTGGTGCGAATTCTGGAAGGCCAGTTATCGATCACCGCGCAAATATGTGTAGCCATCCCGTTCTTTATCCTTCGGCTTTAACGGCGTGGAGTGGTGCAGCACCTGCCTGTTAGAATAAACTAGACCGTATTTTGCATTTTTCTTTCGTTGTAATTGTAGCTACCTAGTGTTGCAGCAGCGTGTGTTGTGTCATGTTGATCTCTTATTTGTTTACTCTCCCAGCTTTTCCTGCTTCATTCAACCTTGTTTACATTATTGTAATTTGCGTGCAGACCAGTCCGCAAAAATAAAATCCATCCAATACGCGGTATATGCGACATCGATGTACTGACACTCGTTTGTTCTTTCCAAAAGTAGGCTATGTCAAATTCTGCTAAATTTTCATAGTATGGCTGTGTCAAAATTGTTCTGGTGATATTTTGCGTGAAATCATCATTATGGTATCTTAGTTCCATGTCATATTGACACTTTGCACTGAAATTAGTGAGAACCATGCATCAAACTCAATAGGTGTTGGTATTTCACCAGATGCATTCAGCATAGTATGTATTTTTGCAGTCTGGTGTGCAGGCTGCAGCATTGCTTCAAGGACTTGAAACTGTTTGTCTTGATAACTGCAAGTTTTGGCACACTGCATTTAGCTGTGCTTTTGTGATTGGTTGGCACAATCATCAAAATCAATGTAGTCCATCCCTTTTATCCAAATATAAATTTCCACAATCCATGCAATGTGTTGGGTTAGCATGGAATTTACATACAATGGCAGGGTGATGGTGAATGGTGGTTGATATAAGATTATGGGTTTGAAAGTCTTTCAATTGTATCTTAAGCTTTAAAAGTATCATTTTTAAGCAGTTTGTTGTTGAATATGCTGACACTTTGAGCTATTTTGAGATGGGTTGCAAAGTGTGCAATGCATGCATATGAAAATTTTATGCAGTGTATTGTGTGTATGGTATATAAGGGCTGCATGTTAAAAGCATGGAGGTTCAGTATTGAGCATAGCAGTATGGTGGTCTTGCTGGTAGGCCTCCTGAAAATGTGCCTCAGTATTATGATATGTCAGTTCTATTTGCCCTTCATTTGCCCAAAATATTGCATGTAGCCAAACTGAGAGTCATACTTTGTTTTTAAAGATTGTTGGTTCATTTTTACTTTTGGAATGACACTATTTTTTTGTCCTTTACAGAGTGAGGTGCTGCCAGAAAACAGCTTGATATATTTATTATCAAAGCATGCATTTGCACTCAAGCTGACTGTGCTTGAATTTAATTGACTATCAGGAACTTGTGGAATACTCCTATCTATTGATAGGCCTCCAGCAACCATGCTGCAGGGAAGTATGGCACGCAGTCTGATACCCGGGCTGCGGGCATTCTGTGTGCCGAGGCGGCATGCTGGCCACAACAAGTGGGCCAACATTCGACACATCAAGGCTGCCAAAGACATGGAGCGTGCCAAGAAGTTCGACCGCCTGGGCAAGCTAATGCGGACAGCAGTGGCCGAGGGAGGCTCGGACTCGCTCAAGAACCTGCGGCTGGAGAACCTGATCGAGCAGGCGCGTGACGTCAACATGCCCAACACCACCATACAGAGCATCCTGAAGTCCGCGCGCCAAGGTCGCGAGAATGCGCGGCCCAGCGAAGTCGAACTCGTCGGGCCCGGCAACACCTGCCTCGTGGTCGAGCTCTTCACTGATAACCCTAAACGCTCTGTGAACGCGATCACGCAGTTCCTGCGCCGGCAGCGCGGCCGGCTGGGCCAAGCGAAGCACGCCTTCAGCCGGTGTGGCGTGGTGGTGACGGCGCCCGCCGATCTGGACGCGGCCACCGAGCACGCCATCGAGGCCGGGGCCGAGGATGTTCACGAGGAGGAGGCCGACGGCGAGACGGTGCTCGTGTTCAGCACGTCCTGGGACGACGTGTTCACCGTGAAGAAGGCGCTGACGCAGCGCGGCTATAATGTGCAGCTGGCCGAGGCGCTGTACGTGCCGCACGCGCCCGTCACGCTCACGGGACCGGACGCGGAGCTCCACGAGACGCTCGTGGAGAAGCTCAACGACCTGAGCGATGTGGTCAAAGTGTACACCAACGGAGTGGTCGAGTCGTAGCGTCCGTGCAGTAGCACGCGACGGTAGGAGACGTTGGTAATATTTTTGATGCGCGTCTGTGCAGTTTGCAGCCGGTTGAGTGCTTGAAGAACACCACCAGATGATTTGCAATGTGAGCCACGGCTAACATTGGTATGTGGCGTTATATATGAGGCACGGATGTGGAATATATATTGCGCGATATGATGGGGAGGCGCGCATGATTCGGTTGCACGTCGATTGCCGGGAGTTGAACTCCTGGTATGTTTGAGCTCGAATCAAGCTCGTCGCGATTCGCTTCGTGGTTGGAATGCTTTTTTAATTCTGGCCACAATACAGTCATGCAGGAGTAAAGGGTTATGCAAGGCCGGCGGCTAAGACGCTTTGTACTGGCGTCGTGAGTACACTTTAGCGCGCTGGACGGCATCTCGGAATGCTTCCCGGCTAGCGATGTACGATAACTCTGCAAGAGTGGTTAAGTCGGCATGGTCGGCAGACTTCACCGGGTCCCGACGATCGCTGCGCCTTATTAAGCTGGCGTTGGCACCACGCTGCACCCTGCGTGCGTCGTTCAGCCTCGGACCAGCAGGTGGCGTGGATGAGTGAAAAAGGTGGCGCTACCGGGCCCTCCCCGTGGTATAGCAGCTTGCATCAGAGGCGTAACTAGCTCTGTACTCAAGCAGCCGACGGCCAGACACGCCGTCAATGCCTCGGACCTGCCAGTCCATGCTGTCGACCGGGGGATGCATAACTCATGTAACCGTGACCATGAGCACCGCTTTGAAAGGTCGAGTACGTGACATCCCAATGGCTCTTCGCTATCCTCGTTTGGCCACTACATGGTGTACTGGAGGCCGGTGTTCTTCGGCAAGGAATTCATGATGAAAAACCAAAAGCTAGGGCGTTTTGCTTACATCAGGTGCGCTCAGCAGTAACACGGATATTGCCGACGTTCCAACTGTGTAGCATTGCTGCACTTCACTCGACGCTCGACGGCATCGCCTCCGCACATCCCTCCGCTCCGGAAATGCCCGCTGCATTGCGTGTTTGTATTTCATGAGACGATCACAAGCGTTGTACAGCAGCCTGTACCCGCGGCGGCAGTCTGTCCCCGGCGCGAGGCCGGCCGACTCTGGACTGTAAGTAGATATGTGGAGAAGCCGCGCCGCCCGGAGCGGCGCGGGCGACGCACACAGAAAACCAGCGACCGCTACCACCCGGCCTAATTCCCGTGAGACGAACCAACGACTGTGTACAGAGCGCGCTGCCGGCTCGGCCGTGCGCAGCCGGTGTGCGGGTGACGTCACCGGCCACCGCGCGTCGCTCCAACAGCCACATATACGTAATTGAAGTACGGTGTGTCGCCGAACGGCAAACCAACAACGGAGCGACACGTACGGCGGTGTAAGCTGTGGCGCGGGTCAGCGGGGCACACTGGAAGCCATGGGTGGCGCCGGCGGACCTGCGTCGGCTGCGACCGGGCGCGCGCACATACGGATATCGAGTCGACAAAGCACGGGCTATTTCACCTGGAACCCACCGCAGCGTCAGGTACTGGAAAATATGGGTAACTTGCCGACACACTGTATCCACGACGCGCCGTCGAAGTCACGCGGTAACCTTTCCAAGGTGAACGGCAACCGACACGAACATATACATTATCATTACCATACGCATAAACTCCATATACGCGCCAACAAGGCCCACGCGCACGCCGCACACCAACAAACATTAAGTAGGCTTGAAAAGGTGAGATCACTGCTCACTTTTCACGCACAGCATGTGTAAAAAATAGATTGTGGCGCACCGCGCTGGCTGCGCCCGGCAGTCCTTGTAAGGCATCGAGCGCCGGCGCCGGTGCCCCGTGCAGAGCGCGCGCCGGGGCTGGCCGGGCGCGGCGGGACGCTCACAGCGGCAGCAGATCACACGTTTGTACAGAGGCGGGCGGGCGACCGGGCCGGCCTACGTGCCCGAACAGTCGATCTCGACCACGTCGTTTAGGTCCCGCGGCACGTCTTTGAACTGGTACACCAGCCGCTGCCCGTCCACCTTGTTGAGGATGCCGCGCTGGTAGTAGTACCTGCCGACGCAGAGGGTGCTGTCAGTGCTGCACTGAGGTGCGGCCACGAGCTGCTTCGGCTCGCAGGGACCCGCGACTTACTAAAAGCCCCCCATCGCTTAAACACAGGAAATATGGACTTTCGGGCCGGACGCGTCGCATTGACTGAACCAGATTCTTCAAAAACAGAACGGAGAAGCGGTGACTTAAGACTGACAACGACGCCGATCAGTGCTCACCTTTCAAAGTTTTGTTTCGATACAATCGGGACTCAGATTTTCCATCAAATTAATTCCAAGCTCAACTGCCAAGCGGATTAAACCCCAGCTCCCAACTAAGCTCGGTGCCTCCCGCGTAGGTGCTCACCTCATGGCGCGCCCCATGGTCTCGTAGTTCATGTCTGGCTTGTTCTTGTGCCGCCCCCATAGCTGCGCTACAGCCTTCGAGTCGGTCAGCTTGAAGACGTGCTCGCGGAAGTTGACCCACTTAATGATGGACGGCGTGTACCGCGCGTCCTGCAGGAGGTTTAGCAGGAACTCCCACAGGTACAGCGAAGAACCTGGAACAGAAGACGCCAGCGTCACAATTATGCCAAGCGAGGAACAGTGTGACAGTGGTGAGCGGTGAGATCAAGAAGACGGCATGATCCGCAACGCAAGTGAACGCATAGGACATTTATCACATTAAATCCACGCACGAGTAGCATGATTGCACTGCGGAACATCTCCGCAAAACGAGACCCATCTCAGCTCCCGGTCGGTCAAACACCACCCGCTGACCCCCCCCCCCCCCTCCGGCGCGCGCGGGTCAGCGTCACTTACCGTCGCGGCTCTTCCGTTTGGGGTGGGGCGCGCCGTCAGGCCGCGTCCGCCGACCCCGGCGCCGGTTCACGTCGAAGTCGAACGCGGCTGCCTTGTAGGCCTCCTCGGGACTGGAGGCGGGCGGGCTGCCGATCAACGGCGACGGCAGCGGCAGCGGCAGCGGGCCGTCCGAGAAGAGCGGCGCCAGGCCGCCGGCGTACAGGCCGGCCGGGCTCGCCGCGCTGCTGTGAGGCGGCAGCTGACTGGTGCTCGGCGCACCGCTGTACACCGCCTCCGACACTGCAACGGGAGCGGCGGGTCAGTCCGACTGCCAGGCGGTGCGGCAGGGGGGAGGGAGAAGGCGAACGGCGCGGGCGGTGAGGCCGTGCTGCAGGGGAGCCAGGGACACCCCAGCACGCCACGACAACATCAACACGCGGGCGCGTCCACCTCGCATCACATACGGCACACCTCACTGGCCGCTAACACGAACATACCCCGAATGCATACTCGGTGGAGTGGAAACGCTCCGTGAAGTGTTCACCCTCGAAAACTAGATGCGCACACAACGGGACAGCTGTTTGCTGCAGATGGCGCAGACACGAAGCGCCGGTGATACTTTCGTCACCAATAATAACTGTTAGGCGGAGCCACAGCGCGAAACTCCAAGCCATTCGGTGGTGCGGAGGGAGACGGGGTCCTCGCGGCTGGTGACTGTACCAACCTCTCGTCAGTCTTCACCGAGGCTATTTGTAGCCCAGTGTCGCACTGGTGAGCGTGTGTGTGTCTGTGTGTGTGAGAAGAGTAAGAAATTTAGGTTGGCTTGATCAGGTCCACGAAACGCCACCGCCACGCGGTCGCCGACTCGTTTCAGCCGTGTGGCCAGCCGCTCCCAGTCGCACGTGAGACCACGACACTCCAGCGTCAGAGCGCCTGAGCCGCCTGAGCTGGATCCCACGCCGCGTCTCCGCCGCGTTCTTCAACGCCGCACGCGACGCGCGCCCACCGCGCCGTCGCGTCTCGATCGCTCCGCCCAGGGCGCGTCGCCAACGATAGATTCTCGATACAGACGACGGCGGCCTTCAGTCGACCTCGGCGCGGTCACCGGCCCGCCGGGCGTTCCAAGGTCGGCCGGCCGCTGCAAAACAGCCGCCCGCCGCCCGCGGCGGTATTTCTGCCGCGCGTCGTTGTCCTCCGTGCGTCACCGCCGGCTCGGGTACAGCCTCCGGCGGCGCACCGACGCGGCCGCGACACCATGTCGGAGACCGTCGGTGCGTTCGTCGGCTGCGATGACGTCAGCGACCGTCAACGCTTCCGGCCCGGTGACGTCAGTCCCGGGGTCAGGGTTAGCGCGGCCGTCCAACGATCAATACCTGCTGCTAAAACGGGCCGCACCGACTAAATTTAGGCCGCCCGCGCCCGCTGAGAATATCTCGGCGTCGTCAGAGCGCCGGAAGAGCCGAGCGGGACGCCGCCGAGCCGTGTCCAACCGCTCTGACCCGCCCCGGATGATGTTCCAGCGCCAGCGGACGGCGGAGACAGTGAGCCTGGCTCGCGCTTCAACACGACGCCCGCCGGCGCCCCAGACAGATGCTGCAAGCGCACGCGAGGTCGGCGCCTCTTGGCGGCCTTGTTCTCTTTTCGCGCCTCTTCTCCGCGCGCGGGAGATGGCGAGGCGTTTCGGTTGCGGCACACCTTTCACTTCGGGATGAAGCCTTGACATCGGCCGGCCGTCAACTCGGCGCGTTCGCCAACGGTTGTGTCATCTGTGCCTCCGCCCCTTCCCCATCCGCACGCGACTTTGCATCAGGGTGGCCTGGGGGCCGGCGCATCGAGCCGACTTCACACAGCTATCCGCTCGGCGTCTGGCCCGAGGCCGACGACAGAATCTGTTACTTCACAGCTTGCACAGTCCTCGGCACGGTTGCCATGAGTCGCCGTTGCGTAACACGACCGCCGCACCGCACCGCACGAGACGCACGCACCGCTCCGTCGGGTGGCACGGCTCAGTGGCATGTAGGAGCCGCGGAGTCGCTGGCGAGCCGACGCGCGCTCGACCCGGCCTGTTCTCGGGGCGCCGTCACGGCAGAGTTCTAGCCCCAGTCCACGTGGACACCAGGGAGCCGCGACGCGTTCAAAGCGACGTCCCGCGCACGCGCCGGGCCGCCGCTCCACGCTCGAGGGTGCATGGCCCGGCACATGAGTGATGACCTCACCCCGTAAGCGTTTTCCTCGCGTGCGTGGCGCCCTGCTCCTCGAGCACCGCATCGCGATCTTCCCCGAAGCGCATTCCCGATCCCTAAGCAGACGTGTATTGCCCACCGTTAGTGGAGGGCGGTGCAGATCACGTGGTCACGCTCGCTTGATCGGGCTGATGGCGGCCGTACATGGCCGGCGGCCGGCGCGCGCCCGCGGCACTCACCTGGTGGTCTGGGGTACGGCTGGTGCCGGTACGGATGCCGCTGCGGCCCGTAGAAGGGGTGCGGCGCCGCCGGGTGGTGGCTGTCCTCCACACGACCGGACAGCACTGCAACGAAGGAGCGCGACGTCAGAGGCTGCCGCAGAGGCTCAAGAGCGGCTGGCCGGAGGAGGCGGGTCTGGCTGAGGGCCAGCCTGGGTCGGCGCGGCCGGCCAGCGGCATCGCTCAACATACGCCGTGTGAGAGTTGATGCGGCGCACGTCACGGTTACGACTTCCGTCAAGTTGTTTATTTTGTCAGCGGCCGGCGGCCCCGTCACGACAGCGCCCCCCCTCCCCCCCTCACCCAGACCGCCCAAGCACGCGACTGAGTCAGATCGACTGGGTCATTCACTATCCACCACCACGGCAGTGGCGGTTTCCCTCCTGTTCACGGCCGCAGCCCTCCACCATAAATCTGTAGATCGATGAACCCCGGCCGTGACGTCACGACGCGGGCCGGTGCGTGACGGAGAGCGGCGGCCGCGGATCGGATACTGAACACGCCGCCGGCCGGTCGGCAGGGGCACCGCAGGCGGCGGGGGCAGGCCGGGGTGCCGCCGCCGCAGCCGCCGCTCGACCCGACCGGTTACGTCATGGGCCCGATCTGTTCTCGGAAGCCGGCGGATCCGGGATGATTTCACGCTCCATTGCGCCGGCGGCGGACACACCGTGATACGAGTCCAGAGTCCGCTCCGCCTTTCGCATCCCATCTAGTCCCCGCTGTGCGCTGTTGCAGCTCTGTTGCAGCGCTGTTGACGCGCCGCCGTTGCGCCGCCGCGGCCCGTGCCGCCGAGCCGCCCGATCCGCGCCCCCGCCCGCCGCGCTCGACCGTCGCGTTCCGACAACAAATACGCGCCGAAGGTCAGCGCAACCGGCTGCAGCGGCTGCAGGCGGCTGCTGCAGCGGCCGGCGGCGGACGGGGCGCCGCCGCGCCGCGCCGGCCGGCACCTGTCCACCGAGCGGCCCGCCACGCCACCAGACGTAGCGGCCTTGGGACGGCGCGCGCGCGCCACCGGTCCCCTCTTTCATCGCCGCGCGCCGGCCAGACGTCTCGGGCAGGGTGACTGGCCGCTCCCCTTGCGGCGCCCGCGGGAGGGGCGCCAGCGCAGGGGACGGGCGCCAGACGGGGCGCAAAAAATGCGGTCCGGGCGGGTGAGGCGCGCGAGGACAGCACCGGCCGCCGCCGCGGTGCGCCGCTCCACCCCGCTCGCGACCTCCACGTGACGAGCCGACTTTCCCTTTCTGCGCGGCGACAACAGGAAGCGCGGTTGCGCGCCGTCTGGGCGCCGTGCGGTCGGCGGCGGCGGGGAGGGCCCGAGAGCAGCGACCGGTGCGAGAAGAAGACCCGGAGGCGGGGCACGCGAGACAAAGGGGACGCCCCGCGAGCAGCGAAGGCGAGGGAGCGCGTACAGGCAGGGGGAGCGAGGTCCGGCCCGTGCTGAGCTCGCCGCCCCCGTGCCGCCCCGGCTGCGGCTGCGGGACCGTTCCGGCGCACAGCTCAGGTCAGCGTCACTCACTGTGCAGCCGGGGCTTGAGCTCGTCGGTGCTGGCGTTGCCGCTGCTGCTGTCGACGTCGGAGACGCCGCTGTCTGCCGGGCTGGGCGGCAGCGAGCCGGTGCCTGCGGAGCGCGAGGGCGAACGTCAGCTGCGGAGCCGAGGTACGCTCCCGCCGCCCCAGCACAGACCAGCCCGACGGGCGACAGCACAGACCAGCCCAGCGGACCACGTCAAAGACCAGCCCAGCGGACCGCGTCACAGACCAGCCCGGCGGACCACGTCACAGACCAGCCCAGCGGACCACGTCACGAGCCAGCCCGACGGACAACGGCACAGCTGCCAGACAGATCAAAACGCCGAGCGGAATACGAAACACGCCCGATGACGGAAGAGACATAATGTGAAACGGAGCTAATGGGTACAACTGTCAGCCGCGCTTTTCACATTTCCCAGTCCTGCCTACGCGGGGCGTCTGATCTGGAAACCTGAACACAGGCAGCGGAATAGGCTCCCCGGCGGATATCCCGCCCCAATCAGGCCACCATGCAGTCTGTTTGCATCTTTAAGCCCATCCGTCATTTCCGCCAGCGGGGGGGGGGGGGGGGGCGGTGGCTGTGGCGGGAGCGGGGGAAATGGGGAGCAGAGAAGCGGAGGGGACCCGAAAGGGTAAGGGCGCTGCCTCTATTTCGAGCGTAAGGCGGTTGACCTTGCTGGGAGCCGATGACCGATGGGCAAGGGGGGGGGGGGCAAGGGTTAGAGGGTCAGCCACTGTCGAACGTTGCCAGCTTGCTGGATTGCGGCCAGACGATAAATTTGCCGTACACAGACGTGGGTTTACATTGCGCCTAATGGATGCAGGGCGTATGGTTGGACCGCAACACGTTGCGACTGCAGGCCGCCACCAGTATATACCAGAGAACTGACTGACTGACTGGCTGCATGATTATATCACAAACACGTGCGCAGCCGGTACAAAAGCAGGGCTGGGTCGGAGGCGTCAGCACGTTACAGTAACAAAAAATGACGGCGCTGTTATCTGACGCCAAAACACTACAAAGGCGACCAGCCTACCGACGCCTATTAAGCTCTGTCCACGGATTAAAGACCAGCTAATGATTTGGCTGTAGCGTCGGTGTACCACGCTAGTGGGCATTTTCCGCATTGCTGACTGGACGCTTTTGCGGCGAATTCGCGGACGTCAGCTGTCTAGCTGACGCATGCTACGTCACAGATGGCTCTATTGAATATCATGCGCGTGACTGTCTGAATCAAGCGGAATTCCACATGCTCTCTGCTGATCACTGACACCAAGGTAATGTCCGCGTTTCATTCCACCCCACACCCAGTTACATTAGTACTTTGTTTCCGGCTGATGGTCGAAATTATCTTGTTGCTCAACACTGCCTGAACATTTCCGGCACAGCTCCGACATGTTCAATTGTATTCTGAGCAAAACCAGCTGACCAACGTGACTACTGATCTGAAACCATAGCGATGAAAAGCTCACAGCAATCTAATCCCCACCCAGATGGTATTGTGATGGTATTCGTGATGGTTTATCCTATGTGGCATTTGTGATAGCTTGCGCAATATACCCTATTAACCTCTGCGTCGGCCGCTTGGGGCAACATCCGCCCACACTGAGACGTGCGTGGCGTGCAGCATCCAGCGTGAGCTGGCCACGGCCTCGTTAGCCAGGATAAGTCTGCCTACAGCCCTGGGGGCGGAGAAAACCCAGCCGGCCCGTTGGCTCCGCTCTGCAAGGGCGTGGCTTCACCACGTCGTGATCCACCTCGCCTACTATTCTCTCTTCCTAACGCCATGACGCCGTCTCCGGCTCACCTGGCTGGCCGGGCAGCCGCGGGTGCGGGTGCTGATGGTGGTGATGATGCTGGTGATGGTGATGGGGGTGTGGCTGGGGCTGGGGCGGCGCCGGGCGCAGCAGCGGCGCCGCCGGCGAGCCGTGCCCGTCGGAGGTGAGCATCTCCAGCAGGCGCGAGTGCTCGGCTGGCCGCGGCGGCTCCGGCGGCCCGGCGGCAGCCGGTCGCGGCGCGCGTGGCGCCGCGTACGTCACCTCCGCGCCGCTGCTCGTCGACGCGCTGCGCTCGTCTCCTGCGGAGAAGGAGGCCCACAGTGAGGGGGGCACTCGGCCGGAGCCCGGCTGCTGGGTCAGGTCGACCGACGCGACAAAACACACGGCGGCAGAGACGTCAGAAGCGCGTTGTGTCTGCTGACGGTCGGCGACATCGAACACAAGCGCTCATCTTGAGTTCATACGCGAGACGTCGGACTATGCAGCGCTTCCGTCACAGGAGCTCCCAGCTGTCACAGGAGAGGGCGAGGCCACGCTAGCCGCGACGCGAGGATAGGATCTCAAGCTTCCGGTCGGCCGAGGTGCCCCGGACACGGTGCGGCGTGATGACGGGGCGCTTGGCGCGGCCGGCGGCTGCCCAGGCCGCCACCACCTCCGCAGCCGCGTCCGTTCCCACGCCACAAGACGGCCAGTTCGGGCAGGGTCTCGTGTTACCAGCACAACACATCGCTGACCATATCAACCATCACCGCCGGGTTCGCCGCGTCGGTGATCCGAGGGGGGAGGGGGGCGTGTGTCGGAGGGGAGGGGCACCGGCCGACGCACCTCGCCCTTCCCGCTGCATTCCGGAGCGTCTGGCACTGTGCCGACCCCGCGCTCGGCGTGGCGCAGCGCCGCCATGTTTCCGGCACGTCCCCTCCCCTGCCCGTCCCCACTCCTTCGGCCCGTCCAACGGCGGCGCTCTCGCCTGGTTCGTTTTGCCCGGCCCTGCCCTTGAGGCTATTTCCGGTTCCTGTTCGCTGTCGGCGTCCGCCTGTGATGCGACGCGCGCCCGGCCATCTACCAGTGTCGGCAGCGGTGGCTGAGGCGTCTACCGGTGCCTCCGCACGCGTCTACCGGTGCCGGCAGAGCGGCTACCGCGCACGGATGAGGCAGCGCAGGCTGTTCAACTCGACGGCCGCCAAGGCCAATGTTGCAAAAACGCCGCGTCGGTCGCCGGGGGCGCACGGGACCGCTTTGTGCGCCAAGACTGCCGAAAATTAGACGCGCCACAAAAACGCCGACAAAAACGCGTTGGCGCATCTAAAAACCGGCACAGCACAGACGGAAGCAGCGTTGTGCGGGGAAAGACCAGCGCAAGACGCGGGGAAATGGTGCGGAAGAACAGGAGTCAGTGCTGTGTGAATGGGCGTGGGGTGGAGGACGCCGCCTTGCTTGCCCCCACCATTCGACAGCACCGGCACGGCGGAAAACGCCGGGTCACAGACCCGAGTGGCGTTGAGGTTTTACATTAGATAACAGGTGTTCTTGACTTCCCAGACACAGGCACACGTCCACGTGTGCTTCTCAGACGTTCGAAGGGTGAAGGTTATTTTGCTGCAACGCCTACGACCAAATCAACGAATTCCCGACCACATCGCGTGTCAAATGATTCAGGACGGGCCGGATTCCTTCTCGACAACCTGCTGCGAGTCGGCACAACATGACCGAGGGGACGGCACGCCACCGCCTTCCGCGAAGCCTCGGCAGTCGCCGCGTGCCTGCGGTGCGCAGCGCGGCCACTCCCTCCCCTCCCCTCCCCCTCCATGTCATGCGCCACCCACCATCGCACGACTTCCTGGATGAGTCGGCAAGCGTGATCATGTACCTCCTGTAGACATCCCGGTCTCCCAGAAGCGTGCAACAACACCTGTTCTTTACGACCCTCGTGAACAATGGAGTACTGCTTCCAGCATCGTTGACATGCTTCAGTCCACACACATCGAGTTTTGCAATGTCTACAACGCAATCGCTAGCTCGAGAACACAAAATGCGCCGATATAAGCGGTTGCGACGACTTCAGCGCGAAATTCTGCCCCACACGCTGCTACTCAATGAAATCGGGCGGGAGCAAACCACTTTCAACTCTCGCTATCGCAGGGATCACGTGATGGATGCAGAGGCGGCCATCGCATCGGACCCCTTCTTGGCCGTTTCGTGGAAGCATGATGATCGGCGTGTGGCGGCTTATGACCAGGCCCATAACCCTCGCTCAGGGACGGGGCACCGTTCCGCGGCCCGCTCAGAGCACGGGCCCGAGCGCCCTCGCCTGACGTGAACACCACCCAAATCAGCATGTAAAACAAGTCGCCGCCAAAGTACCGCGGCTGACGCTACAAGCAAACACGTGCTACACATGACGAAACGGCAGCGCCCGATTCACCGGCCGCCAGATGGTGCGATGCAGAGCAGGCTAAAGCTGCCCTTTACCGCGAGATGGGCCTCCACGCGAAGACAACCCATCATGGAGCTCGCGAGGGAGGCTGACTTATCTCCGACACATGGCAGCCGCAAGCAGGGCGCGTGGTTCGAAGCTTGTTGGTCTGCACGCGAGCCTGACCACATCCGGGCCGGCCGGCTGATCGGCTGGGTGGTCCGCACGGGCGCCGGGCGCGTCCCGAGCGACCCCAGGTCAGCCGGCCGGCCCGCCGCCCGTGGGCCAGACCCCGTCTCAGTCGCCGCCAGCTCTGGCGCGGTGCGGCGGGCTGTGGCGCACCAGCGCAAGGTCAGTCGCGGCCGCCGCTAACGTCGCGGGCACGCTTGTTGACGGCGGGGCGGGCGGTGTGCAGCGCGCGTGACAAAACTGACGCGGTCGATCGGAAGTCAGCGATGACGCCAAGGTCTCGGCCGTCGACCAATCCGGCGGCAGACGGCAATGACGTCACTCGTAGCACCCTTGAGAGGGCAATCTATTTCGGATTGGTAAGCCGTGCTCATGAAAGGGTCAGAGCTAAATCTGACCCGTTGTTCCAGAGGTCAAAAATAGAAGTGCAAATACTCGACGTTGATAGGACTCTCCCACGATCCTTTAAGCCATCCAGCTGGGCAAATAGGCACAACGGCTTTACGCTGGCTATCCAGGAATACGGAAACGACGGGTTTTAATAGAGCACGCCTTGCATTCAGAATCTGGCTAATGAGTCTATCCGCAGCCGGTAATCTTTACTCTGGTTTAAGCTCTCCCATATCGACTTAGCCAGCTAAACACCACATACTACGGGGCAATTGCCGTGCGATTGGCTCTTTGGATTCTCACGTGGAAGGCCCGCGTTCGAATCCCAGTAAAACCATGCTCCCTGCCCGTAGCGCCCAATGTGGCTGATGCAGTCGTCGGGCGCCCCACAAAAGTGAAAGTGACAAAGCACGTCGCGCTTCTTTTCTATCAAAATAAGTGCGCTGCAGGTATCTCTTAATGATAAATAGCCGTTCGAAAGCACTGGAAATGCGGACCGGAGAGTGACACCAAATACCATGTGCGGACAAACGCGACTGAACGCCGGGAGAGCAGGAAGCGAGCGGCGGCAGCGGATTGCAGGGCAGAGTGCGCTGATTCGTACGGCCATATTATCGTCGCCACGGGATGAACACCGCATCGCAGGAGCGCTTCCGGGAAAACATGGCCAACTTCCGCTCCAGTGCAATGTGCGACTGCACGCTGCAGCCTGCGGAGGTTTGTCGGGACACAGACGGAACGAGAGGTTCGTAGGGACACAGACGGGAGGAGAGGATCGTAGGGACACAGACGGGACGAAAGGATCGTCGGGACACAGACGGGACGAGTCCTAACCCGACGATCGTAAGGCTGGCTAAGCCACGGGAGGCGCCTCCAGAGTCTGGCGCTGTCTTGTCCTGACTCAGTCGCAGGTCTCACTGACGTGACGTGGGCCTTGAGACCATCGCAATGTTTTGGAATATTGACATGAGCGGACACCGTGCGATTACGCCGAGTTCGAATAAGGGCGGGTATCAAGATTAGCTGACGGTTGGTGCTGATATCCGCTAAAAAATTAGCGGTATACCGTGTCATCGGTTGAATTTCGTGGAACAGGAAGCTGTTATACACCGCAACCAGGGGTGTCGCTTGGTACGTTTTTTTGAGAGGCCCAGGCCCCACCACGTAGTTTCATTTACATCGTAATTCAAGGTGGAAAGAATGACCCAAAACGTCAAAAAACTGTTTAACCCCAGATCAGCTTTGGGAACCGACGTTCTCCTTTTTTAAACGTGCCTGCAATTGTCCGCCTGGCCATGTGAACATGGAGCTTCACTCGAACCTGTGGACATCAAGCGTCCACTGATTTCTTCTTTAAGGGCGTCCCCTCCTGGCCTCCCCTAAAAAAAACTCAGAATTCCTGTCTGGCATGTCCCGCCCCCTCCGTTACTTGCTGACCGAGCCGCAGTCCGCCCCAGGCTGTCTGTGGCGCGCGTCCCGAGCGTGGGGCGCCGTGAGTCAAGCTGACTTGGTAACGGCGGCGGCATTAGTCACAGCAGTCGTTACGCGTTAGTCACGACGGCGCAGCAGCTTGGGCCAGACTGTTGCGGAAGCGACAGCGACATGTCTGCCCCAGCTGAGTCACCAGGCCATCCGCCGCCTTCGGCATGGTAGCGAAAGCCGCCACGCTGCGGGCCAAGATTGAGGATCTCGAGCCTCCCGACACCTGGGAAAATGTGGCATCTCGCCCACGACGGGGCACGGGAAGAAACTAACCAAAACGCATCGAGCTCAAAGATCGACAAGCTCGCGCGCCTGAGGCGTCGCCAGGTCGGCGTATCGGGCTCGGGGCTGACCAGGCCGGAACTGGGGCAGTCAGCGGGGCGGCGACGGGGGCCGCACCCGCGGACGGCCGCGGCGAGGCTCGCCCGCGGCCCAGCCGGTCCAGCCGCCCGCCGTCACGGCGCAATGAGGTCAAGAGCAAGGCCGGCCCGAGCGACGGGAGGCCGCCGAGGCGGGCCGGGAGCCGCCAGCGCGGTCGGCACCGGTGCGCTGCCGACGCCACCCGCGCGCCGGCCGACTCGGAACGGGCACAGGCGCTCACAAGTGGCGGAAAGGGATGTTGACGAACGATTTAGATTTGTGAGATCGGGTGCAAGATGTTAGAGATTTCAGTTCGCTTTCAATGAGATTTTGACAGACAATGAAAGTAAAATCCGGCGTGTAGTTTCCGTTCGCTTTTAGTATCGAGCGAAACAAGCACCGTCAATATTGCATATAATTCATAACTTCACTGATACCGTCCACTGCTGAAGACGCAGACCAAGTGACTGCCTTAATTCAAATCAATGTGAACGGACAGCTCGATCCCATATGGCGGCCATAACACCAGCGACAGTGTTGCCGTACGTAAAAACATGGTGATGTACCGAGTTTAGAGTTCAACTTTGGACCCTCATGCAGATTTACAGCCAGACATCGGATTCACCGAAACCATTGACAGACCTGGGGAACGGAGCTCAGCCCACGAGCTGGTGAATTGCGCCTGCGGCACATTCCGCTTCTTGATGGGCAGCACATTCGACTGGAAGATGGGCAGAACCAGGTTGCGCTCCGTGTCGTCGAACGCCTCCTCAAAGTCGCGGTCGGGCTCGGACGGCCTCCGCACGGACAGGTCGAGCGGCTCGTCCGGGTCAATCGACTCCACCTGGATGTTCAGACGCTTGTTCTTCATGGCTCACGGCGGCGACGCGACTCGGACACGAACGGCGGCGACTCTCAGTCAGTCCGGCTCGAACCAGGGACCACAGACTCAGCGGGCGCGACGCCTAGGCGGAGGCGGCCATGTCCGTGGTTGTCAGTCTGCTCAGCTCTCAGGCGACCTCTGGCGCGCGCCAACTCCTGCGCAACCGAGCACCGTCGCCGGGCACGTCCTCACCACGCGCGCACCCGTCGTCGACTGTTCCGGCTTCCTGGGCGCCGGCCTTCGGCCACCAGCTGGTCGGGCGGCTGCGCGCGACGCCAGGGGGCGCCGCCGCCGCCGCCGCCGCCGCCGCTGCCGCTCATACGGGCCCGGTGTACCGACGGTGCGGGCTGCCGTGGTCTGGCCAGTCACACGGAACTTGCCGCCGTGGCACGTTTCGGCGAGCAAACAGCGCCGAATCACCTTGAAACCCGGCGCCTTTCCCGTTCGGCTCCGACAGGCGGAAATGGGGCGGGCGAGTGGTCCGTGGGTGGGTGGATGGGTCGGGCAGGTGCGCACTGTCCTCTGATGGGACTAGGTGACGTCATGTCTGAGAGGGGCAGGGGCGTGTGATGTGTGCCGTTCGAACCCCCACGAGCCGGTGCACAATCAAACCCAATCGGCGAAGCTAAGTGAGACCTCTTCAGCCCGTCGGCTGACCTGAGGCAGCCTTCCGCCGCTCGCTGCCCGTGTGTTTTTCTTTGCTTATAAATGGTTATGTTAGATGGGAGTGAAATGCAAATAGTTTAAAACATGAATGAAAACGTGGTAGCAATTTAATTCCCTGGGGTGAACCGCAAGCAGGTCTGGTGAACTGTGCGGTTTTGCACATCTTTGACCAAATACAGCCATCACATCAGGTGTGAGAGAACATTTCCTCTCATGAATCTTCTGAAACATAAGCGCACAGGTAAAATGTGGCAAACCAAACCTGCAGCCTAGGGGTATCACAGAATCCTTATCCCTCAGTTTTTGGCAGGCATACATCCAATCAGTAATGACGAGACCGGAAACCCTTCTAGGTACTGGAGCAGGAAAGATTGCTGCCTTAATTTAACTTCTCGAAACGATCCCATGATGTTGCTGAGAAATAAATGCCTCTTGTTTAAGATGAGCTTGCCATCGGATATTTCTCCGAAAACCATCCATGGTGTACACGGAGCTTAAAGGCCAAAACCGATTCAATGCTCTGCAGGGATAGATCTGGGATCCGAATCATCTGGGCATAACTTGTGAAGACCTGTCCTTATTCCGCCAGTAGCTAAGTTCCCCCATAATAAGCGCATCCCGGTTTGTTGGGGGTCGGTTGTTTTGGGGCTCGGACTTCTTGTCCAGCGGTACAGAATGATGTTCGACGTGACAAGCAAAGGCACGACACGGCCGTATTGGTATGAAGGGATCGGGTCTGCTGAAAAAGTGCTTAAATTTCCAACGAACAAATATGCAATCTTTTTATTCCTAAGTACACATCTAGTCCCTCAAAAGCCCGAAACCCAAAAGTCAGCTCTGTTACGCATTGTCTTTGACTTTAACGAGATGAAACAAAACATACTGTCGAGATCCGTAACAAGAATATCGACGTTTGGTGCTGGCCTTCCATTTGCACCATCATAACGCTAAATCAAAAAGTTCAAACAAAACGAAAGTTGTTATATGCATTAGGTGACTACTTCACACCTTACTTACTTAAAGACGATATGTGGTTTTTTAGGTTAACACAGCAAATTGCGTTAGTCTCTCTTGATACATGCGGTATCCTTCTTTTTGCTAGCAGTTTTCTCTTCACGTTGCAATAATTCTGTAAGCTGTGGCCTTGACACCAGTCAAATGGTAAGCGAGTACTCCCTGGTAATGCTTCCGTTATGATCGCGGATTAGGTCATAGCGTTACGGTGAAAGGCATCACACATGCATGGCAATATTCCAGGTGCTCAGAACTGCTGGGGTTGAAACTCCGTGCATCGAAACCAGTTTGTTGCCACTCGCTCAAAGAAGAAAATGTAAGAAAGCTTAAAGGCCCAATCCCTCTGACTTAATAGCCACTTATTGATTGGCCCGGTCTGTTTGCACCCAGGCTCTAAAAATGCGTCAAAAGTCGCCAGGGGATCCAATAATTCCCTGCCGGTTCGCTTTATTTGTGTGCGCCACTCACGCAGCACACCCTGCCCGTCCATCGCCGCCTGAACAGCAGAGCAGCGGCCCGGCGCTGCGGCGACACTGCTCCGCCGAGGCCGGAGCGGCGAGGCGGCCTGGAGGGACCGGAGGCACGGGGCTGGCCCGGCGCGGCGGGCGGCCCGCAGGCACGGGGCTGGACCGGCGTCCGGTGCGGCCCACCACTCGAGCCGGCGTGACGTCCCCAAACACCCGGGGTCAAGGTCAGTGCCGCAGCCGGAGCCGGAGTGGGGTGCCTCGGAGGCGGCTGATCCGGCGCTGGGGCCATGTCGGCGCCGCCGCCGCACCATCTGTGCCAAGGCTGCGGCGGCGGTGGCAGAGGCCGGGACGCCTGGCAGGTGGCCTCGAGAGGTCCCCAGCCCCGCAGCCCGGGCGGCTTCCTTCCTGTGGCCGCGGCACATCCGACTCCGGGCCGAGTCGTGGTTCACCGGGGCAGAGAACCCAGACCCGGGGCGAACCGAGACCGCCGGACGGAGAGGGAAGAGGTGACAGGTAGGCAAGGAGAGGGGCGTCACCGGACAGACGGGTTTGCGTTCACCATCATGTCCAGTGAACAGCGTTACCTCCCTGTCCAGTGAGCCGGGACGGAAGGTACTGCCCTGTGGGGGAGGATGTTTCCGACAGCTCGACACGAGATGCTGCGGTCCCCGTCCGTTGCAGGCGTCTTGAAACTTTGACAGTAAGTGCCGGGCGAATGGTCTGGCATTTGAATGGCGAAGTGAAAGAAAATGCCGCTTCAACCCAGTTAACTCGCATCGTTAGTTGAAAAAGAGCGACACTGTGGTCAGTCGTTAAGCAAGCGGTCCACCGTTCGCTCGTAACAGTTTGACACGGTGGTCATGGACGACTAGCGACCTCGCGGGTTACGCTGCACCCGGTATTTAAAGCTTCATCACAGGATCGAACCCGGAAAAAACACATGGAGGACCTCGAACTCGCACAAAGCTCAGGTACAGAGGTCGTCCCTCTGGGATGGCCTTTATGTTCGTTTACATTGGGAGGTCGAATGCCCCCCCCCCCATTGTCATGTTGGTGAGGTTGACCGAAGGTGACCGAAGGTGGCCGAGGGTGACTGAGGGTGTACCAGCCGACAGCGCAGACATAGGTCACCGCTTGTCAGCAGCGAGAACGTGGCGAGCCGGCGAGCGCCCATGCCACCTTGACAGGCGCAGCGGGGGCGTCGTACGGAACTCCGACGTCACGTGCCGGGAACCGGCACCACTGACAAGGGTCCGTCACCCCGAACACCGGTCAGGTCATGTCCGGCACTGATGAGGTCACGGGTGCACATGCGTCACCAGCGGCACGGGCGGCGCCGTCTGTCACCCCGCCCTTCGCACCTCTCTTCTGGCACGTCCGGGAGTGTCCATAAAGGCCAGCTGATTGGCACCACCGTGGCGGCGTCCGGGCTAGGGCTACTCAACACAAATGCGCAGTACAGACACGAGTCTTTGTGGAAAGTAAGCCGCTCAGTTTGTCCCCGTCTCGACCACGTCTTCATTCAACCCACAAAGGCCTGGAAAGCCACCGCTATGATAAGATCGCAGCCCATTTTTAGATTCAAGTACTTGGGATGGAAAGCTAAATTTTGATCATTCGGTGCAAGAAATGCTACATTCACTGCCAGTATTAAACGGATTATGCGCAACCAGAATGGGTCGCCTTCCTAACTCACGTCGTGGCGTCTGTTCTTTAATCATATGACATACTACTTTTTTGCGTGCGTGCGCATTAAGCGGCAATATGACCGACGTGGTTGTTTTTATATGGGTCATGTGTGAGACCAACATCACTACTTTGCACCAGCAGCACAACAGTAAGTTCATTTTCCTTGCCTTGTTTACATATGGTGTGCCCGTTATCTCTAGCCATCGGTGCAACAAAATCACGCTGCACTTCTCATCGTGAAAACCGAGTAAATTCTCCACAAATCGCCAGAAATAGCTGCCACGTCGCAGGGTGAAAGGGATGTTCTCCCAGCGCGAAGCCATGGCTGGACGGTGCAGCACGCAGCCAGACCCCTACACGCCTGAACAGGCCTGACTGGGAGGCTGCCGATGATGGCAGAGCGCTTTACAGACAGCAGGGAGTGACGGTTGACAAGCCTCTTGCGCAACTTTCGACGGTCTCGGTCGGTGATTGGCTAATAAGTCACCCCATTTCCGAGAAGCAGATCCATATTCTCTACTGATAACGTGCCGAACACTGTGCCGCACGCGTAAAAGAGCAGACTGGGCGTACTTACCCATTGCGCCGCCATTCGAGTGCATGAAACCCGCCAGGTCAGCGCCATCTGAAACAAGATTCATCGATTTAGCGCCAGCTGAATGCTTAAACAGCCCGCCAGCTACAAACGGCCTCAGCGGGAGTATGGAGCGGGTAAATCTGCGTCGATCCGATCCAATCTGGATCTGGTCACATAGAATCCAGGTCAAAACTTTATTTAGATCAAGACTGGTTGCAGTTCCGGGGTCCCAGGATTCCGATCTTCATATCGAAATGCTTAGGCAATGCCCACAGCGGAGATGAGAAGGCACCACCCAATACATAACCAACACATATGCTGATGTAAAGACTGAAGCAATCTGAAGCCAGTGCGGCGTACCAGGCATCTAACAAAAGTCGGGATTGAGCGCTAGGACTCAGCACGTGCCTCCCAGTGAATACATCACAAATGTCGACAGCTTTCAAGGCCGCCCATAGCTACGACACCCAGAAGCTCTGCAACACTGGCGAGCAGCGCAAAACGCAGCGTCTCTGGCTATATATGTACGACTTTGATGCAAACGGGATGATAAGTCGTTAAACCAAGTGTTGGTATACCATGTGGAAGGCTCGAAACTTGTCAGATCATTAGCTCTGCGATGTACGAATACTTTCCCTTTCCAGCTGCCCTCCCACAGGACTTTCCACACAATAACACTTGCCTGTCAAGGAGGGGCCGTAATAGCCACCTGAACACGCTGGGGGAGGGGAGGGGTTCATCCACCCCTGCCTCCCTTCAACGGCTGAGGACGCGTTACCCTTTCACCTCTCACCCCGGCAGCCGTTGTTTTGGTGGGACGGACCTGAGACACGCGGACGGGGCGGCCGCCCGGCGGCACATTCCGGGCCGCCCCTTCCCCTCCCCCCCCCCCCCCCCCCCGGCAGGAGAGGAGCAGCCGCAATGGGAACCATGCTCAGCGGCGGCGAGGAGCGGAAGCCTCGATTGTTCGCTGGGTTGACTTACACAGGGCAGCAGCCTGCGGGAAAGCCTGGGCCGCCGTGCCACCCTTATCTCGGTGACACAATCGTAGACTACGATAAATTTTTGAAAACGAAAATATGTTGTGGCGCAGTGCTTCGTGATAGTTCCGCACCGTTCTGGCTTAATTCGTTTTGCATATCGTGTCATTACGTGCCAAAACTGGAATTGTATCACACATTGTCCGAGAGCTGAATACACTGCTGCTAAACAAATCCGCAGTCTAACAACAGGTGTCTCTTATCATGTTTTTTTCCGACATTCAAGGGACGGGTTGGTCCTTGTGTGTTTATAGCCGGACAACAGGGTGTCATTCGTGGGCATTAACAGCATGTTCTGCTACATTATGCATGGAGAAGGACTCAGTTGAACTTAATCCAACATAAATACCACATACACATTGCTCTGAAGTCACATTGCATTGCGCTGCGTGCATTACCCCGCCAGCTCACCGCCCGCTGTTGCTTTATGTTGCGGATTCCCTGGAACCGGCTATTTGCAAAGCAGTTACACACTACCTTGTTTCTAAAATGAGCCAACATGTCTCAGGTGGCTGCGACTCTTCCTGTTGGTGCTTTTCGACGGAGCGGTAGGCAAGACGGCATCCCAACATGAGGCGATGGGCTGGTAGCGCACGTCGTGAACCCGACGGTTTTCCCCCGGTCTTTCATTATTGAACAGCAGAGCAAAAACGGCCGTTCGCTGGTAGATGGCCTACGCCTTCCGGTCCCGGAATCGTTTCTGGCATGCGTCAGGTAACGCCGCCACGAGCGGTGAGGACAGCGCTCAAATGGCGAGGGTTTGCGCGATTGACGCAGCTCGGTCGCGGCCGCATCAGAGTTCGCAGCGAGGCCGCACGCCATCAGTTTACGCGCTACGAACATACTAATATTCAAACGAAACGGGGAATCACTGCAACGAAAATTGAATCGATCGTCGGATTCCACGCCAAGCCTCTGCAAGTGCACAGGCGCAGCTGACAACGCACAGCTGTCGATCAGCTGATCGTAACAGCGACGGGAGAGACACAAGCTCCAGATCATCGGCCGGCCACCTGTCGCCGCGCGTGCGGGCCGCGCAGGCTGCCGGCCAGGGCGGCCAGTTATCTGACGCTCGCCCCTGGCGATTTGGGTCATGGGGTCACCGAGCAGCCGCAAAAAGGCGCCTGTGACCACGCACAGCGGCGGTGGCGGCCGGCTGGCGGGGCGCCCGGGGCTCGTATGCGTCCCTCTAACGCACTGCGCCGCTGCTGGCCGCCCGCCACGGACGGTTTGGGGTCACGCGACGCGGCCAACTCCGAGTGCGTGCCGAGCGGGGCGAGGCAGCCGGCCGCCCGGCTCTCGTGCGCTGACGCGTCCTTGCCTTGTCACACAACCGTCTGGGTCGAGATAGTTTTGTGGGCGCACTTCCTTTTGTCTGGATACGCGTCCCCATACAAACTTGACGTTTCTAGGAAGTGAGCAATTAGCATGGAGTGAATGGTCCCCAATCATGTGCTAAATTATCCCGCCTGGAAAGATAAGCCTGTACACAGAAATGGTGGCCGCACAAGTCTGTGCGCAAACATGGCCACAAGCCTTACAATGCAATGCTTATGGTGTGGTTATACTCGAGTAAGGCTCGTTTGCAAATATGGAGCAAATGGTTTAACATATCCCCGCATCTGCTATGCCATTGGCTTTAGCACAGCAAAACATATCATAAGTGGTCAAGCAAAAGTACTGCAAATACTGACAGAAAATATGTCCAAGAGACGATGTTTGATTATGCTGAGTTTCGCGAGTGAGCCTACGAGTCGTGAGCCAGTGAGATTAAGTGGGCCCATCTGACACCACCGGCGGTCCCCTCTGCTTCCTCGAAGTCCTGTCCTTGTCAGGAGCAGACCGTGCGTGCAGTAGCGTTTCTCTGCCGTGCCAGGTCCCCAGAGTCCTGGCCAGGCACAGTCCGTGCGTGCAGAAGTGTTTCTCTGCCGTGTCAGGTCCCTGGAGTCCTGTCCCGGCCAGAGACAGTCCGTGCGTGCAGTAGTGGTTCTCTGCCGTGCCAGGTCCCCAGCGTCCTGTCCCGGCCAGGGACAGTCTGTACGTGCAGTAGTGGTTCTCTGCCGTGCCAGGTCCCCAGCGTCCTCGCCAGGGACGGCCGGGCGCGTGCAGCACTGCCGTCGCGCCGGGCGACGCGCGTGCCGCCACCGGAGGCGAGCAAGGCCGCTGCCGAGTCGTTCCCGGCGCGGTGAAAGGCGTGCACGGAGGAGCGGGGCGGTGCGCGGACGCACCGCCGCCGTGTCGCAAGGCGACGCGGCCGAGGAGGCGGCGAGAGAAGGCCTACGTCAGCTCAGCTACCGTAACGAAGCGGCGCAGCGAGCGAAGGCCGACTCCACGGCCGCGGCAGGGAGGAGAGCCAGAGGACGCGTGGCTGACGGAGATGCGGGCCGCCGGCCCGGATTTAACGCGTGTATTCCCAGCATGCGAGGCGGTCTCGAATCGCCGCAAAATCATGAAGCGCCGCAAAATCATGAAGCGCAAGTGTTCGGGATAATGTCCAGGCAATGTCGTCTCGCTTGTCTTCCGTTCCCTATCTTATGTTCCTACCAGCCAGTCAGTCGTCAGCGCTAACGAAAGGACGGGTCTCCGTTTGACACATGCGACCTGCCCTGAGCAGGCAGGCACAAGACGTGTCGTATTTTGTAAACACCTAGTAATCGCAGCGGCACAAACGCCTCCACAACTGCATGGTGAGGTGGCGCCGGCCAACACCCGGCAAGTTGTCTGATACCGGTACTGGCGCAGGTTTTAATGTACTTGGTTCCTGGTGAGTGCCCGCTCACACCATTTCAACACAACACCGGGCCAAGTGCCCGGTCCGGCCGTGGCCATCGGTGCCGAGTGCCCGGTCCGGCCGTGGCCATCAGTGCCGAGTCATTCCGTGTTCTGCAGCCGGAACGCGCCGACAGCAGCTCCGTCACGTGACGCTGCCCGGCGGCCTCGGTCAGGCCACACGGGCTCAACGTTCGGCAGAGGCGTATCTAGCCACGCTAGCACCGGTCGGGCAGAGGTGCACCCAGCCACGCTTGCACAGGTCGGGCAGAGGCGCACTCAGGCACGCTTGCACCGGTCGGACAGAGGCGCACCCAGCCACGCTAACACAGGTCGGGCAGAGGCGGATGAAAATCTACCGGTCCCCTTAGTTACGCGCGCACAGACCAGCACCTGACAGCTCCGTTTCGGGCTTTCTGACATGAGCACCGTGCCGGCATCGTCAGCTCAGACACCGCTCCGGTATCGTTGATGCTAATCTCGTGCCGGCTGGTAGTATTGCGGTGCCTGTCAGCTTGTATATGTTCGACGTTGGATTTGATACCACGCGTCACTGAGCTTGTTTCTCCCCTAACATATGGCACCATATCTGCTCTGGCGACCATCGCTGTCGTACTTAAACGCAGAAGTATCCTTTCAGGCCATTCAGTCCCGCGTTGGTCAAAATCTATAAAAAGCACTGAAGGCTCCTTCGTTAACCACTTAACCCCTTCCCAAAAGACTTGATGAGAAACGAGGTGCGAGCGCAGCTTGTTTATTTATCCCTGAGCACCTCGAGATGAGCCCACATCAACAGCTGACCGCAAATCGTGAAGGCGTTGGCCAAAGGGTAGAGCGGCGCGAGAGGGAACCAGTGGGCCACCGCCCGCGTGTGGCTAGGCCGACACGAACCCCCAGCCGTCCCAAGGCCGCCTGACACAAAAACGCCGCTCGGAGGTAGACGGGGCCGGCAGTTCAGCGGTCTCCGGCGCCGCTTACGTCAAGCGTGCGCCGTGTCCATGACACAGTTGGGTGCTCTGACGTCACAGGATCGGGTGCTGGTCCAGTTTTCCTGCGTGCGGCCGCGGCCGCCTGGAGACGGCCGGTGGGGCATCCAGGTCGCCCCGGTCTTCCCTCACGCATGCTGTCCTGCCAGTGGCAGCCCCGCTCAGGGCGCGCCCGCGCTGTGCACATGAAGTAGGCAACAGGGAGGGGAGAGCTTCCGGAAGTCCCGCCATCTCGCGGCGGCGGTGAGGACTG